AGCCTCCGGCCACGCCCCCCAGCACCCAGGAGCTCCACCCAGGCCCCGCCCACCCCACCCTAAGCCACGCCCCCTTCCCCAAGCGCCTCCTCCTGCGCCCGCCAGGCCCCGCCCACCGGGACAACGCCCCGCCCCCGCCCGGCCCCGCCCCCTCCCAGACCTCCAAACTCCAGGAATTGGTGGAAAAATTGGAATTCCCGGGCTCCGGCCCCTCCCCCACCCCGCGCCAGGGCGGCTTCCGGAACCTTCCGGGGGCCGCTCCGGGCGGGAATTCCGCCATTTTGGGTGGGAATTCCGCCATTTCCGGCGGGAATTCCGCCATTTTGGGTGGGAATTCCGCCATTTCCGGCGGGAATTCTGCCATTTTGGGTGGGAATTCCGCCATTTTGAGTGGGAATTCCTCAGTTTTGGGTGGGAATTCCCCTGTTTCGTGTGGAAATTCTGCGATTTTGGGCGGGAATTCCTCAATTTCTGGTGGGAATTCCTCGATTTTGGGTGAAAATTCGGCGATTTTGGGTGGGAATTCCGCCATTTCGAGCGGGAATTCCTCGATTTCGGGCGGGAATCCTGCGATTTCGGGTGGGAATTCCGTGGTTTCTGCTGGGCATTCCTCGATTTTGGGTGGAAATTTGGCAATTTTGGGTGGGAATACCGCAATTTTGGGTGAAAATTCGGCAATTTCCGGTGGGAATTCTTCGATTTTGGGCGGGAATTCCTCGATTTCGGGAGAAAATTCAGCAATTTCGGGTGGAAATTCGGCAGTTTTGTGCAGGAATTCCTCGATTTTGGGCGGGAATTCCTCGATTTTGGGTGAAAACTCGGCGATTTTGGGCGGGAACCCGTCGCTCCCGGGGTGCCCTCACCTGTGCCAGGTGTGTGGGCGGGGCCCCCAAACCCCGAACCTGGAGGAGGGCGTGGCGTGCCCAGAGCCCCCCGAAATTCCGGCAGATCCCGAAAATCCCGACGGACCAGGGGAGGTGAGCGTGAGGGGGGAGACCCCAAAATCCCCCAAAATCCCCCCAAAATTCCCCAAAATCCCCCAAAATTCCCCCAAAAAAACCTGAATCCCGCCCTTTTTTCTTCCCCTCAGGTGCCCCCGCAGCCGAGCCCGAGCCCCGCTGGAGACCCCGGGGAATAATTTGGGAATGAGGACGGAATTCCAAAAATTCCCCAAAATTCCCACAAAACGCCCCAAAACCGCCCCCATCTTCCCACATAAAATTAAATCCCTTTTTCTGACCCTCCCCCCCCGTCCTCCCGCTGCCTCCCGCGTGTGATTCGGGGCTGAGGGGGGGAGGGGAGGGATGAGGGGGGAGCCCCAAAACCGAGAGGATTCGCCCCAAAATTCCGCCGGGCAAAATGGCGGCGCCCTCAACAAAGATGGCGGCGGCGGCGCCTGGCCCGCAAGGGGGCGTGGCCAGCGGGCAAAATGGCGGCCGTTGCCAGGGTAACGGGAGGCGGGAAAACGCCAAGATGGCGGCGAGCGCCGCTCCGCCCTCAGCGGAGGCTCCGAAACGCCGCCGTTTTCTGTGGGAATGAAACGCCAGGAAAAGCGCGGTTTCCACGGGAATTGCACGGTTTTAAAAAGCCGCCGGTTGCCATGGAAATAGTTTGGGAAAGGGGGGTGGGGGGTACTGCCAGCTCTCAAAATGGCGGCGTCGCCATGGAAACAAGGCGGGGTTTCCCACAGTCAAAATGGCGCGGTCGCCATGGGAACGCGGTGCCCGCACTCAAAATGGCGCGGTCGCCATGGGAACGCGGTGCCCGCACTCAAAATGGCGCCGTCGCCATAGAAACAACGCGGGGTTTCCCACAGTCAAGATGGCGGCGGCTGCCTCAGGGCGGGCTCCTCCCCCTCGGGCGTTTCCGCTTCCGGCGCCGTGAGGCGGAGCGGGAGCCGCGCGGGTTCTGTCGCGACAGAATCGCGATCGCGGCCGGCGCGGCCATGTCGGACACCTGGAGCTCCATCCAGGCCCACAAGAAGCAGCTGGACTCGCTCCGGGAGCGGCTGAGGCGCCGCAGGAAGCAGGACCCGCTCGGGGGCGGCGGTGAGGGCCGGGCCTGAGGGGCGGCCGGTCATTAACGGCCTTAATTAGGGGCTGAGGGGTAATTAATGGGGTTAATGAGGGGCTCCGGGTCATTAACGGCGTTAATTAGGGGCTATGGAGTAATTAATAGTGCTAATGAGGGGCTGTGGGGCGATTAATGGTGTTAATGAGGGGTTAAGGGGTGATTAATAGTGTTAGTGAGGGGTTTAGGGGTAATTAATGGTGTTAATGAGGGGCTCCGGGTCAATAACGGCGTTAATTAGGGGCTGAGGGGTAATTAATAGTGCTAATGAGGGGCTATGGGGTGATTAATGGTGTTAATAAGAGACTAAGGGGTGTTTGATGGTGTTAATGAGGGTCTGGGGGTGATTAACGGCCTTAATTAATGGCTATGGAGTAATTAATAGTGCTAATGAAGGGTTAAGGGGTGATTAATGGGGTTAATGAGGGGCTAAGGGGTAATTAATGGCGTTAATGAGAGGCTGAGGGGTGATTGATCGTATTAATGAGGGGTATGGGGTGATTAATGGTGTTAATGAGGGTCTGGGAGTGATTAATGGTGTTAATGAAGGGGTATGGGGTGATTAATGGCGTTCATGAGGGGCTAAGGGGTAATTATTTGGGTTAATGAGAGGCTAAGAGGTGATTAATGGCGTTAATGAGAGGCTAAGGGGTAATTATTTGGGTTAATGAGAGGCTAAGAGGTGATTAATGGCGTTAATGAAGGCTATAGGGGTAATTAATGGTGTTAATGAGGGGTTTAGGGGTGATTAATAGTGTTAATGAGGGGCTGAGGGGTGATTAATGGTGTTAATGAAGGGGTTAGGGGTGATTAATGGGGATAATGAGGGGCTGGGGATGATTAATGGTGTTAATGAGGCAGTGGACAGTAATTAATGGGGCTAATGAGGGACCAAGGGGCGATTAATGGCATTAATGAGGGGCTGTGAGGTAATTAGTGGGCTGAATGATGGGGTTGGGGGTGATTAATATGTTTAATGAACATTTGCTGGGTAATTAATGGGCTTAATGAGAGTGCTGGTGGTAATTAATGGGGTTAACGAGTGCACTGGGGTAATTAGTGAGCTTAATGAGGGACTGGGAGTAATTATTTGGGTTAATGAGAGGGCTGGGGGTAATTAATGCGGTTAATGAGGGGACAGGCATTAATTAATGGGGTTAATGGAGGTTAGGAGGTTAATTAGGGCGTTAATTAAGAAGTGGAGGCAATTAAGAGCAGTAATTAATGCGGTTAATGATGGGGCAGGCATTAATTAATGATGTTAATGGGCATTAAGGGGTTAATTAGGGTGTTAATTAAGAAGCAGATGCAATTAAGAAGAGTAATTAACGTGGTTAATGATGGGGCAAGCATTAATTAATGGGGTTAATGGAGGTTAAGAGGTTAATTAGGGCGTTAATTAAGAAGCGGATGCAATTAAGAGCAGTAATTAATGCGGTTAATGATGGGGCGGGCATTAATTAATGGGGTTAATGGGCGTTAAGGGGTACATTAGGGCGTTAATTAAGGAGTGAAGGCAATTAAGAACAGTAATTAATGTGTTTAATGGGAGCAGGCATTAATTAATGGGGTTAATGGGCATTAAGGGCTTAATTAGGGCATTAATTAAGAAGCAGAGGCAATTAAGAGCAGCAATTAATGTGGTTAATGATGGGGCAGGCATTAATTAATGGGGTTAAGTGGTTAATTAGGGCACTAATTAAGAAGGCAATTAACAAAAGTCATTAACGCGGTTAATGATAGGGCAGGCATTAATTAATGGGGTTAATGGGGATTATGTGGTTAATTAGGGCACTAATTAAGCAGGCAATTAAGAACTGAAGCTAATTAAGAACAAGGATAAGCGAGAACAGCGGTAATTTAGGAAGAGGAGGTAATTAATAAGGCTAATTAATTAGGAGCATAGCGCTAATTGCATTGCCCCTCCCCCCGCAGACCCTCGCCATGAGCTGTCCCTGGCCACGCCCCCCCGCACCGGCAGCCCCGCCCCCTCCGGCCCCGCCCCTCCAGGCCCCGCCCCTGGGGGCGTGGCCTCGCTCGGCCCCGCCCCCTGCGGAGACCCCGCCCCCAGCGGGGCCGGCCCGGGGGAACAACCGGAACCGGAACCGGACCCGGCCCTGGAGCGGCGCCTCCTGCTGCACCTGTCGGACCTGGCGCTGCCGCTGCCCACCCACGCCGGAGCCATCTGAGCCACCATTGCTGGGGGAAGAGACACACCTGGACACACCTGGGAACACTGACACACCTGGGGACACCTGGCCACACCTGGGAACACCTGTACACACTGACACACCTGGACACACCTGTCGGACCTGGCGCTGCTGCTGCCCACCCACGCAGGAGCCATCCGGGCCGCCATTTCTGAGGTGAGACACACCTGGGAACACCTGTACACACTGACACACCTGTACACACCTGTCGGACCTGGCGCTGCCGCTGCCCACCCACGCCGGAGCCATCTGAGCCACCATTGCTGGGGTAAGAGACACACCTGGACACACCTGGGAACACCTGTACACACTGACACACCTGGACACACCTGGACACACCTGGAGGTGTAGAGAACTCAGCTGTGCACACCCGGGTGTGGGAGGGGCACACCTGGTGTATCCAGGGACCTCCCAGGTGTGTCCAGGTGTACCCAGGTGTATCCAGGTGACACACAGCTGTACCCAGGTGTCCCCAGGTGTGCTCAGGTGTGCTCAGGTGTGTCCTCAGGTGTATCCAGGTGTCCCCAGGTGTGCTTGCTCAGGTGTCCCCAGGTGTGTCCAGGTGTCCCCAGGTGTGCTCAGGTGTGTCCCCAGGTGTGCTCAGGTGTCCCCAGGTGTGCTCAGGTGTCCCCAGGTGTGCTCAGGTGTGTCCCCTCCTCCCTGCAGGGTGACGTGGCGGTGTCGCTGCGCGCGGTCGAGAGCCTGCTGCACAAGTTTGACAGGTGTGTCCCCAGGTGTGTCCCCAGGTCTCCTCAGGTGTGCTCAGGTGTCCCCAGGTGTGCTCAGGTGTCCCCAGGTGAGCTCAGGTGTGCTCAGGTGTCCCCAGGTGTATCCAGGTGACACACAGGTGTCCCCAGGTGTGCTCAGGTGTATCCAGGTGTGCTCAGGTGTCCCCAGGTGAGCTCAGGTGTGCTCAGGTGTCCCCAGCTGTATCCAGGTGACACACAGGTGTCCCTAGGTGTGCTCAGGTGTCCCCAGGTGTGTCCCCAGGTGTGCTCAGGTGTATCTCAGGTGTCCCCAGGTGTGCTCAGGTGTCCCGAGATGACACACAGGTGTGCTCAGGTGTGTCCCCAGGTGTCCCCAGCTGTGCTCAGGTGTCCCCAGGTGTCCCCAGGTGTATCTCAGGTGTACCCCAGGTGTATCTCAGGTGTCCCCAGGTGTCCCCAGGTGTGCTCAGGTGTGTCCCCTCCCCGCAGGGTGACGCGGCGGTGTCGCTGCGCGCGGTCGAGAGCCTGCTGCACAAGTTTGCGGCGCAGGAGCTGATCGAGGTGCGCCGGGGGCTGCTGCAGGACGGCCCCACCCTGGTCACCTGCGCCGACCACGCCAAGCTCTCCGCCATGACCGGCCTGGTGGCCGCCGAGAAGCGCCGGGCGGAGCCGGGCGGGCCGG